AATGAATTGTAAAAATTTTGGAGAAATCCCAAATATATTGGTATGCCAAGAGGAGAGGATGTTGGTAGTAGTGGAGGGCCGGAGACCATGTCATTGGTCTTGTGAAGCTTTGGGGCACATGGCTAAAGTGTGCCCTGTGAAACGTACTCGGCCTCCACCTTGTCCAACAACAGCAGTAGTCGCAGCACCAGCAGAGGAGGGTGTAACTGTAAATCCCCACCCCCGATGGGGCCTGGAAGGATGTCAGAAAGAATCATAAGACAACAAATGTGCCTTCTCCCTAAAACTGGACGTGACTCCACAAAAGCAGCAACCACCACTTTAAGAGCAGCCAGAGAAGCAGAAGTAACCACAAAAAGAGGTGCAGCAGAAAGAAGGACCACAACAAAAGCAGCATGTGAAGGGCCTGAGGGATCGGGGTAAGGCTGCCCAACTGCTCCGTAACCTCTTCTTGTTTAGAGTGGATGTCATCATGATCCAAGAGACCCACTTTGTTTGCAGTGTTGATGCACGGGTGCTATCTAACGACTTCTAACATCTATTCAGCATATGGAGCCGACATGCCAGAGGAGTTTCTTTGCTGGTTAGCTGTACCCTGGATGCAAAGGTGGACCTTGTTCATGTCAATGCCAAGGGCTGGTTGCTTGTGGCCGATATCGCAGTGAAAAGTTATTCGTTTCGAGTTGTTGCGGTTTATGCACCCAACAACCAGGAGGAGCAGGTCTCATTTTTTTCAGCAGTTGCAGCCATTCCTCGTGGATTCAATGCGCCTAGTTTTAATGGGGGACTGGAATGCCATCCTGGACCCCAAGTTAGATAGGGGCAGGGAGTTAGTGGGAGGACGGGCGATCATAGCTTGGTTGTTCTGATCGACAAGTTTGGTCTTGTCAATAGATACCGAGTCAATCACCCTGAGGGAGCGGGGGAAGATGTGGACGTGGGCTCTTAATTGGCCTTCTACCCAGATGGTTAGCTACCTAGATAGAATGTTAGTTAGAAGTGCCAATGTAGATTTAATAGATTGTCCCAGATTCCACTGATTAGGCTATTTTGACCACAAACTTGTTTGTGCCCGGGTGGTGTTAGATTGTAGGCCTAGAATGGCTGGATACTGGAAGTTCAATCTGTCTTTACTGGACAGGCGGGACTTCCAGGAATAGCTAACTAGCCTAGTGCAGAAGGAACTAGTGGAGGTGGTTATTGGGAATAGGTGGTGGGAGAGGCTTAAGGATAGGATTAGTTCCTTCACCACCGAGTTTAGCAAATGGCTCACACTAGATAAGGCTAACAAGGTGAAGGCTCTTAAGGATAGTCTTTCCTGGGCAGTGGCTGGGGGGGGGACTCCTAGAAATAGCCTTAGCTAAGGAGGCCCTGGAGCATTTGGCTAGCAAGCACTACATGAGTCAGGTAATTAGACATAAGTTAAGCAAGATGTCTTCCAAAGCTGTGAATATGAGCACAGAATTGTGTAAAGAGATCTGTCATGGTTCCAGTCATTACATTTGTGGGGTCAAAACCTCAGAGTGACATACTTTGAGGGCCACTGATGATATGTGTGAGGCATTTCGGCAGCATTTTGAGAGCTGATTTACCAAGGAGTCTGGTTTCCACAATGAGAAGTTTCATAGCGTTTTGGCCGACTTTCCTCGGTTTTCACCAACTGAAGCAGCTAGCTGCAAGAGAGAGATCACAGAGAGTGAAGTCTACATGGCATTGAAGAAGGTCAGCAGAGGCAAGTCCCTGGGTCTGGATAATTTGCCCTATGAATTGTAATTGAGGCTGTTGTACATCTTTGTCCCAATTTTGATTGTCATGTTCAACAACTGGTTCCACCAGGGCTCTGTCCCTGACCAGATTTCCAGGGTTGTGATCATGCTGTTGAAAAAGGGCAAGGGTGTTGGGCGGGATTTAGATGACTATAGGCCTATAAACACAGAGTTAAAGATTTTGGCCAAGATCCTGACAGAGTGTTTGCAGTCAGTTGCCTAGACTCTGTTGGGACCTGAGCAGACTTGTACTGTGAAGGGCCAAACAATTCATAGCAACCTGCATCTGATCTGCACAATCATAGAGGGTGTGAAATATGACAATGAGGCTGTGCTGATCAATTTGGATCAGTCTAAGGCATTTGGTAGTGTTAACTGGCTGCCGTCCTGCAGGCCACTGGATTCAAACCCAACTTCTGCCGCTGGATTAGCTTGCTGTATCACTTCCCCAGTGCTGTGGTACAGATGATGGGTGCTTTTGCACTGTCTCGGTCAGTTCGTCAGGGTTGTCCACTGTTGCTCCTACTTTATGCTTTGATGTTGGAGCCTCTCCTTCACCGGCTAAGGAACAGGGTGTGCAATCTGGCCCTACATGGAATCACTGTCTCTGGAGGTGTTCAAGCCAGGGTTTCCGTATATGCCGAGGACATATCTACATTTGTGTTGTCGCACAGTGACGTTGAGGTGGTACTAGAGGCACTTGTATGGTACAAAAAGGTGACAGGGGCCCAAGATTAACCATGACATGTCTTCTGGTTTGTAGTTATGTGCCTGAAATGGGGTGGGGTCAATCTTCCGTGGCCCTTTGGTTAGATGAATGGTCCTGTCCACATTCTCTGAGTGTAGTTTGGACCTGACCTCTAGCTGGAGAAAAATTGGTTAGAAGTACAGGCAAAGGTCAGCGCAGTGTCTTGGACTTGGCATCGATGGAGGTTGTTCATGAAGAGCAGGGCGGAGGCATGAGCCTCTTATGTCCTTCAGATTGTCCTTTGCCGCTTGTCTTTACTTCCTCTCTGTAAGCGACATAAGGCGCCCACACACTTGCTAACCTCCACGCTGTGAGGGTAACACAAGCAGAAAGTCAACAGAGTAGTCTGTGTACAACGTCTATGTAATGGTAAGTCACAAACTTGCCATGAGGCTGGCTTTCCTATGCCAATCATTGACAGGAGATTCGATTATGGAGGGGATTGTAAAGGATGCTTCCCTGGCTTTACTATCAGTCCTCCCACCTCATAGGTTGTGCGCGGTCATAAACCTTGGGATCAATCGGATTTCCTTTGCAAGTGTTGATCAGCCTTGAGGGCCATTCCTCGATCCAATGACCTTTCTTGGCCTAGGAGAGTCTTCTATCGAAGGGCTCACAAAGGATACGCTACATGAGCGGCTCAACTTGTTGGAGGTGGAGTTCCGCTCCTTCTGGTCTTGGGCGCCAGCAACAGATAACCTCAGCAACCCTGAGTTTTCACTTAACTGGCAACTGGTTCGGAATAGGCCTTCATAAGGGGTTTAGCAGATATGCCAGTCTGTGAACAATGTGACTTTGGCTTAAAAGAAATGGCTTCACATACCTACCATTGTCCCGAAAAGCTCATTGACCATGCATACGCATGTGGCAATGTGCTGCCCCCATTTTCTGGGGTGAAATGAATGGTGTTTCTATCGCTGCTGACCATGGCTGGAATGGTGATTTGGTCAATACGACAAGAGGAAGTCTTGTGAGGCAACTATCTTTCTCATCAGAATCTGAGCTCAAGATGAAGATTAGAATTAATAAAAAATGGTTGGTTTCAACAGACTTTAGAAAAATGAGGCAAGCTTGGTTCATGTGAACAGGGTTAGCCTTAATTTTCTCTTTTAGGTCTACCTAATTCGAATAAGGGTGGTTTCCTGTAGAGTCCTCCCCTGGTTAGACGAGACAAGCTTTGTGTACTTAGTTAATGATAATAAGTGTTGCTCTCGGCCTGCTCCCAGCTATATCTTTGGTTATGAACCAAGTCGAGATTTCGAGTTCATCTTGACTGGGTCAGCTTTCTTTACTCCCCACGTCCATATTTATTTTCTCTTTTCCCTATCCCTTAGGGAGAGAGCCTCTTGATTCTATCGTAGGCCAGAATACAGCGGCCTCTCTTTTTTGAGAATTGGACGGATCCTACTAACATCAGTTATCCTTAGTTTGTTTGTGGGTTCATCTCTTCCCCTCTCATTGTATATCATCCACAGATTTTTATGTATAAATTTAATAATCAAATTTTTGTCATGGGGTACATTTTGTAGGTCCCCCTGAGAGTATGCGGCATTATGGTACATGGAGGATTGATTGGTAATGGATGAGTTCTTGTGGTGAATGTGCAAACTGTAATGAGTGAATGGGTCAAGAATCTGATTAACTAAGTACAAGATAGTGAATACCAACCTCAACCCATTCCCCCTATTTTGGCCATGTGCCACAACTGTATATTTTTATACAATAAATCTAAATAAGCTGATACTAAGCTGATTAATATTCAGACTGATCTTACTTCGTTTGGCTATACAGCATTTAACCCTCTCCTATTCCTTGCAAGTTGTCTTGTTAATTGTTTTGTAACTTATTGTTCTGTGTTTTTTGTATGTATCCGTTAGCACCAGATAGTGGTGTTGAATAAATACACTAAGAACTCATTCTTCTGTGTATCATTTACCTCAACAATACAACACTTTGCATGACAAGAAAGAAGTCACATGTTATTTCTGGTTAATTAGTACCCAAAAATAGTAGTGTGATAAGAAGACTCCTGTAAGAAACCAAATACTTGTTTAGAAAACAGAGAGAAAAGATAAGTATCTTGACCATTAACAGCCCATTAAGGTAGCTTTTCATCAGTCAGGATTGTAAAAAGGGAAAGTAAGCAAAGTTTAACAATAGAGTAGAGACATAGGTTTGTGTGTTTTGGTTATTATTTGATAAGTAAACAGTTCAACAGTCAGGTTTTTTTTGTTTTGTTTTTTAAAAAAAATCACTTTCATCATTAACAGCAAAGAAAAGGAAGTAAAATAAATCACTTGACCTTTTATGAACATGGACATTGTTCAGATCAATACTCACAATGTGGGTGAGTAGGCGTCTAATAAAATTCAACATACACTCCTCACCAGATATATGATTAAGTAACCGTCTAATTTTTGAGCACTTAATTTATGTATGTATTCACATATGTATGCAAATGAGTTTGTAGCAAATTTAAAACTTACCAAATTCTGATATGCTGTCTTTAATGAATTTTCCAGTTTTGCTTTACTATTTGTTGATGGAACCTCTGAAGAATTTGTTAGTCTCTGACTGAGCTGCCAAGTCAGTTCTTCTTTCTGATTGGTCAGTGCATAGATTTGTTCCTGCAGTCCTTTACATAAGTGCTTGCTGTAGTTGTCAAAATGGTTTTCAATTATGTCCTTTGCTAAGGCTGTAAAATACAACAGAATAAAAAGCCAAGGAGCTATAAAAAAACGAAAAAATTTAAATTGAATAAAGCAAATGATTATATCTCCGACAGGCACAAAAGAATTTCCAGAATTTTTTTTTTCACACTTTTGTAGCAGGCATAAATAAATTGATTTTACACATAAAGTAACAATATGTTAAACTCAATATCTTTTCACTGAAACACTTATATAGTCCCAAATGCCAAATACAAATCTAGAGAAAACTCATATCTGTTGAAGGAATCCCTCCCTGATTGACCATGTCTTCAGGGGGGTATCCGTACTCACCACACTTAGACAATTGTGGGTTTCTCAGGCTATTTAACGCCTAATCAAGTGATTAATCTTTTTCATACATCATTTATATACAAATAAAAACCAGCAGCGCCAACACAATTTTCACATTTCAGTTAAATAGTTAATAGACAATAGATTGGATTACATTTTAATTTATTCATATCTACATTGCTACTTGCAGAGGTTTCAGGTATACAGGATTCCTGTATGTAACATCAGTTTTTATTGACATGTGTTGGTTTGTAAGAACCAAAAAATGCATAAATTCACTTTCATTATGTTTAGGTTTTATTAAAATTCTAATCATTGCTTTTTAAAACAATAACTGCCGAGGAGTGAAGGTAGTTAAAATTATAGTGGTGTCAAGGGAAAAACTATCTTTTTGACACTCTGTATTTTTGCATGCCAAAGTTTAAAGATTGCTAGAAGTTCTACATTATTTGTTATGGATGACATATGATGTTTACACCACACAGGAAGCACTTCCTGTATTCCTTGGAGCCATGACAGGAGCTAAACAGCAGCAGGTTATAATAAAAATGCCCAAAAGACAAGTAGAAATGCCATACCTATGTTTGAAAGTACACGATAACAGCTGATGCAGCAGCTAGGTTTACCAAATACTTTTGGCAGTTTCATGAGTTAACCCAGGAAACGTAAGATTGCTTTCATAGAAAGTACTATGGCAACTGTTCGGATGAACTCTTCAACATAGTACCTAGACTTTATGAATTTAAGCACAACACTAGACTGGCAACAAGGTCTCACCAATTTACAGTTGAGTTGGCTAGATGTAACTGTAAATTCTATGCTAATAATTTCTTTTCTCACACTTCTCACTTGTGGGACTCTCTCCCAGCTCCATGTTTTCCGTCAATTTTAACCATAAAAAAAATTTAAATGCAATGTCAATCGCTTTCTACTGTCCTCCTGATCACTCTTCTCTTATTCTTGCACCTTAGTAAAGTTTCCATTTTCTAATTTTTCCACACCCAGTAACCCTTTGTGTCTTAGTGGCTTTACTGCCTTGCTTGGAGTGAAATCGATAAAAAAAAAGGTGGAACCTAGATGCCAATCTAGCAGCATACTTAAATTCACGTAGTTGGCACACATGGGGGAAATATAATTGACAGAGCAGTTGCCATGAAAATATTTGCAGAAAAGACAGAGGGAAGCTACGTCATGTTGGTGAGAAAGTGACTGAAGTCGAGATGCCAGGTCAGGATCGATTACATTGCAGATTCTTCTTTGGATTTTGTCAAGAATCTCAAGATGAATAACAGGAGCACCAGACCAAATATGGCAACAGTATTCAATGCACAGATGAATGGTATATTTGTAAATGTAATATAAAATATAAAGCAGAAATAGTGTAGGACTGAAGAGAGAGTCCTGGGTTACGCCTGCATTGATCTAATAGGTTTCAATAGCTTGGACATTATCAACCACCATATATATATCTACCTGTAGTGCAATTAAATTAAGGTGGGAAGTGTGAGAAAATAAACTGTTGGAGTAGAAGTGACAGTTGGATTTAGCCATTTCAACAGTCCATGTTTTCCAGTCAGTTTAATATATAATAGGTTAAAATGAAGAGACTTAGTTCTACAGGTGTGTTATAACCTAGAAAATGTTACTGAATGAGGAATAACCAAAACGGATGTTGGAATTGAAATGTTGGAAAGATATAGTGGGGCTGACACAAAACAATTTTAACCTGTTCTCTTTCTAGCTGAAAGACTCAAAGAGTTTTTCAGTGATTCTTACAACAAATGGTGTCAAGATAGTTAAATGTCTTATCTGAAAATCTGGAAAAAAAGAAACTCAATTAGTTTCGTGGTTTTTTAGATATTAAACATTTTGTGGGATGGACAATTATCCTATGCTGTTACGCAATTTAGACAATTTTGCTGTTACACCTGGTATGTATATATGTTTACATACTGTTTGAGTGAATAAAAAGTCTACTGATTTTTATCAATAACAAATCATTTAATGGTAATCAAATGTTTCTTCTATTTTCTAGGGATTTCGCTTAGAGCAATTTATTGTTCTAACAATAAATGTTCAGTCCTCAAAATCAACAAATGCATGTCAGACAAGAAATCGTAAGAGATGTTGTAGAGTATCAGAAGCAAAAAAAAAAAATGGTTATAAAGAAAAAGTATCTTACACTTGAATTTTGGATTTCTGTGTAAAGACTGGGCGCCATTCCAGTATTTATCAATAAGATCCATCAACTGCAGAAGCAAACGGTCAATGCTATTTAAGGAAACTTTTTGCGAAGACTGACTGCATGAAGAAAGATCGTCTCCATCATTTGATCCATTCTGTAATGAAAAATGAAAATGACAATATAAGGAAATAATAAAACAATGAAGACTATCATCCTCATCTTTGTTGTTGTTATCACAACGTTTCAGCTGTTGTGCCCTCCTGCCTTCATCAGATGATTGTTGATTAAGATAAGCTAAATTTAATGAATTTAAGCATGCTACTAGACTGGCATCTAGGTCCCACTCTTTTACTGTTGAAACAGTTAAATGTAACTATCACTTCTACTCCAACAGCTTCTCTCACACTTCCTGATGGCGGAACTCCTTTCCATTTACTTGCTTCCCTGATAACTACAATCTTCAAAACTTTAAATGCAACATCAATCTTTTCTGATGCCTTGATCCACATTCTCCTTTTTATCCTTTCTGCAATCAACTCTATACTCAGTCTTTTCTCTTACTTTCACTCTGTAACCTCCTCTGTACTAGTGGCACACCTGCCTGGATTGGGGTGAAATGCTTAAAAAAATAAATAAATAAATAAAAAACAATAACAACACCTTCAGAGAATTGAAATTTGGAACTAAATCTTTTATTTAATCTACAGGGGTAGACTGTTCTCATTCTTCTGTTCAACTCTTGGAATATCTCATCTAGTTTTTCTTTTTTTTTAACCCGTAACCCTCTAGGGTCATAGGAGCACCACATGCACTGCAACAGCAGTGGTGTTTCAAGGTCAAGATAGCCTGATGGAGGGCAACCTTCTGTAAGTTTGTTTTGAATTCAGAGTTTTTCCTTCTCCTTTACAGGTTGCCACCCAAGGCTATAGCCCCTAGTCTGTCCTATTATTTACCCATGGTTGGGATAGGAGGGAGAAGAGATATAGTCATACCTTTCTTAAGGTTATTAGCACATAAGTAAATGTAATGAACTTAACTGGAATTCGAACTCAGCATTCCAATTTCTCAGTTCAAGCCACTATCCGTTAATCCACTGTGCTTCTATGTTCCTCTTTAGTACTGCTCAGTTATTGCTCACCCCATTTCACAACACTTACATATTGGTGACATACAAACAAGCAAAATAATAGACACTAAAAAGACTGATATACTCACAAAGATTAGGAAATTTTTTTTTCAGAAATAATTTTTATTCTTTAGATCTTCCTTAGGCCATGACACTTGTCAAAATTGAAAAATATTCATTTATCTTTTTAGGAGTCACCTGTTTATAATATCAATCTTCTATGTACTGTGTCCCATGGCTCTCCACAATTTCCTGACAAGACTAATAATAAAATGTTACATTTTTTTTTAATTTGACTTCAGTCAAGATTCTAGTCAACAATCCTGCACCACATTTAATTTTGAACTCCATAATCTTTTGAATGACTGTAAAATATGTGCCTCAACAAAGCTAGTTTTTCTTCTCCTAGACTGGTTGCCATCTATAGCAAGTGAGCCCAATCAACCCTACAGCATCAAATCAATCCCTGACTTTTACAGCTTTACTGACTTTAGCTTTTTTGCATACAAAAACTGACTGTTTTTCAGTGAGATTTCAAAAAGATTTCTTTTAAATAACAAACATATATATCACATCTAACACTTTCACCCCGGCCCCTCAACCTCCAGCGTCTTACTCTCAGGGTTGAGGTGTCTACTCAGTCCTAACCGAACTTAAGGGAGTGGTCATAGGTCCCCCTGAGCATCTGTAGATTATTCAACTGGTCCGCCAGTTTAATCCTGCTTCCTGCCCACGTTGTGATTTGTTTGATCCAGAAAGCAGAAGTGATGTCCGTCCATTCATGGTCAACTGAAGATGTAGACACGGCTGGGGAGTCTGCGCTAAGAAATTTAGAATGCAGCAAAAAAAAAAAAATTAATATCTGCAGAAAGCCAGACAAACATCGACTCAATGGTTGAATTGGTAATGTCTTTTATATAGCAGAAAAGAATAGTAGAGAAGAGGAACGGGTTACAGAAAAGAAAAGTAAAAAAAAAACTCATACACTGGATTCTAGACAGAGAGAGAGTGTAAGTGATTATCTTGTTGCTAAATCGTCTCAGAACAATATATGACTCTTGCAATGGAGAGATAAAGATTTCTGTGTGGGGCTTAAAGTTATAGTGGTGTTCCTCCTCCCAACACTCGCCCAGGCCAATTCTCTCTTCAAGAATTTTCTCCAGTCTGTCTTTTTCAGCATAACTACACATTTATATAGATAAACCTGGCTGGTTATAACTGACCCTCAGCTCTTCTACTTCACATGCGATTATCACGGGGTTCTGGCTGCTTCAACCAAAATCATGTGAATTCCAAAGTTCTTTTTAGCTTACTCTGCTCTATTTCAATTTTTAAACAATAAAAATTATTTTGACCATTTCCATTGTCTCTGATGACCCAGATTCAATGGGTACAACTTCTGCCCTAGATCAGATTTCCCCATCAGTAAACAAAATGCTCTGATTTAATTTCACTATTCAAATCTACTCCAATTTCACTAAAAAAAATATACGCGTGTGTGTGTGTGTGTGTGTGTGTGTTTCCCAAACTCTCTGTCACACAGATACATAGATTTTCAATGTTAATCTTTGAAAGAGGGATCTTAGAGAATGTTAATCTTCGAAAGACGGATCCTAGAGAATGTTAATCTTCGAAAGACGGATCCTAGAGAATGTTAATCTTCAAAAGTTATTTCCTAAAATAAATTTCCCTACAGTTTGGCTTATGGCCACATCACATTGAAACACCAGTTCCCGTACAATCATTGAAGTTAAGCAACATCAATCCTTGTCAGTACTTATATGGGTGACCACTTAGGTATACCAGGTGCTGTAAGCTTCAATGCGCAGGTGGTGTAATGGATAATGACCCGGAATTGTTAATCAAAAAGCTGAGTTCCAATTCCTGTTAGGTTTGTTATATTCACTTATGTGCAAATAGCCTTAGGAAATGAGTTAATTAGTAAAAATTTTATCACCAAAACCATTATTATTTCCAAAATAATAATAAAATTGTGTGCAAAATATTTAGATTTCGACATTAAATAACCTATAGAGGTTGTTATGCCACAAAAAAAAAAAAAAAAAAAAAAAACAACCAACCAACCAACTCTAATTTTTATGAGTCTACTTAAGTAATCCCCCCCCATTCTATTCTTATACTCTATCAATTAAGTATAGTATATTGATATATGAGTGGACCAGTCTATTTAAGTAGTTCCAAATAGGTTAGATTGGTTAATTTACTGACATACCAATCTTGTTGCATTATTTAATGTCAAATAATAATTTAATGTCATATAGGACAAAAATCATAATAAATTAATAGAAAGGTAGACAAAGATTCAATTTACATTAGAGTCAAAAAGGTAGACAGAAAACTGGTTTATACTGAATCTACAAGTATCTACTTGAAAGTTGACACCATTTTTATGGGGTGTGGAAGTCTTACCCCCTCTGCAGGGAGTGCAGTTAGAACATTCTAAACGCCATTAGGCTGACAGAGGATCAATAATACCTATAGATCAGCGTTTCTCAACCTTTTTGCCCTTGCATAACCCTTAAAATAAATTACACGTCTCAAGGAACCCCTACGCAAAAACAAAATTATATACCATATCTTTCTCATTTTATTTACATCGTAGTTCATGTGGTATCATAGTATATATTGTTGAATAACTGGTTTTAAGAAAAAATTAGTACTTCTTTGTCAAATTTTTCAGTAATGCTAAATAAAATTCATACTGAGTCTGTCTATATTTCTGAGATGAGGTATTATGTACATTATTTACATTACTCAGACTATTGTCCTCATCTTTGTCGCCATATTTATTACAACGTTTCGGCCATTGTACGCTCAGGTCTTCTTCAGGTGGTTGGAATGTCGAACTGAACCCTTTATTTCGCTCACTGGCCATGTTTGATGGATGTCAGTTATCAGTTATCTCCTATTAATTTCCCTCTGAAAGTTCTCCACTGCCTTAACCGGGTATTGAACTCACTCTTCGACTGGACCATCTGAACTCAATAAGACCTTCGATACAGTTCACAATGGAGAAAGAAAGTAACAACACACTCCCATTCCTGGATGTTCTAATATCTCAAACAGAGCATGGGTTTAAGACATCCATATACCGTAAACCGACATTCACTGGACAGTACCTCAATTTCAACTCCCCCCATCCATACAGCGTAAAGAAAGGGATCGTCCGTAGCTTACAACACTGAGCAAAAGTCATAAGTGGTGGCCCAGAGACGTTAGATAAAGAATTGGTCAGTATAAGTAGTACCCTACAACGTAACAACTACTCTGGGTACATGGCAGCAGCCCCCCAAAAACTGGGATAACGGGGACAAGAGGAGGAGGACAACAAAACTCAGAAAACAGTCTGCCTGCCTTATGTGAAGGGGTTATCAGAGAAAATACAAAGGATCTGCAGCCCTTACAACATCAGGACAACCTTCAAAAGCTTGACGACACTTCGCAGATATCTCTCCCGAGTAAGACCACCCCCTTAGAGAAGAACATGACTAAAGACCGTGTGTACGCTATCCCGTGCAGCTGCGGAAAGAAATATAAAGGGAAGACAGGCCACCCGCTTAAGGTAAGGCTTCAAGAACACGAGAAAGCTGTAACACGAGGAGAAGTGGAAAAATCAGGCGTGGCTGACCACATATGGAGAGAGAAGGGAGATCACCGCCCTCTGTGGGATCACGTTAAGATCATAGACAAGGAACACCATTGGAAAATTCGTAAACTTAAGAAATCAGCACATATGCTAGGCCACAAAAATCTCCTGAGCCGACCAAGCATAGAAATAAATACAATACGGGAACCAGTAATAAGGAGTGCCAGAGAAAAGCAATGATATTAACAAAGTTGCAATATGAGCTCTGGTAAAAACATGCAATGATAACAACAAAATTGCAATATGAGCACTGGTAAAAAATGGTTGCTGAAGACATTAGCTTTATAATACCCAGAAATTCATACCCAGATGTCCTCAAGGCACAGTGGATAAAGGCGTTGGTTAGATCCAGTGACAGGACCCAAACAGTGTGAGTTCAATACCCAGTTAAGGCAGTGGAGAAATTAACAGGAGATAACTGGTAACTGACATCCATCAAACATGGCCAGTGAGTGAAATAAAGGGTTCAGTTCGACATTCCAACCACCTGAAGAAGGTCGGAGCGTACAATGGCTGAAACGTTGTAATAAATATGGCGACAAAGATAAGGACAATAGTCCAAGTAATGTAAATAATGTAAAATTCATACTGTTCATTTATAATACTTCTGTTGTAAGTGACCTCATTTGCCCTGGCTGGGATCCCTACCCCATCTACATAGCCTATGTTGGGGCCAATTCTTTGTTAGCAATCGTCACAGCAACACCTTCATTCATGGATTACTTACCAGCTCAGTAAAGATATTATTCAAAATGTCAAAAAGTCCTGTATTTATATATTTTTTGTAAGTAACAATCATGTTTTTTGTATATGTACAGAAAGCACAAATATTTTTATGTGAAATTGCTTTCAAGGTATATGTTATTTATATCAAAATACTTTCAGGGTATACATTATTTATATAAAGCTACCTTCAGGGTATATATTATTTATATAAAGCTACCTTCAAGGTATATATTATTTATATAAAACTACCTTCAAGGTGTGTGTATATATATATATATATATATATATATATATATATATATATATAAAAGCTGCATTATGAAATGTTTATGCTTGGGTTCCATTCCCAAGCTGCTCCAGTTTATAAATATATATATTATTTATATATTATGCCTTTAAATTCCTTGAGGAACATAGGGCCGCAAAATATTGTTGTGGTTTCTATAACAAGCCAGTTTTTAAGTGAGTAAGTTGTTAGCCTACTGCACAACCCCCAATCAGGAGAAACAGGTTTTGAATTCAGAGTTGTCCTTCTCCTAGAACAGTTGCCACCCAAGGCTATAGAACCCAGCCTGTTGTTCTATTTACCCATAGCTGGAGAAGAGGATTCATACCTTTCCCAAGGTAAGTGAATGTAATGGATCTGACTGGAATTTGAACCCAGCTCTCTGATTCTTCAATCTGAGATGCTATCCATTACTCCACTATGCCTCCCCTCCCCAGTTTATAAATGCTATATACAAATTAAATAACCTGTATTCTCAAATCCAAAAAAAATCTGAAAACCAAACCATTTACGGTTACAAGAATTTTGGATAAAGCATTCTCACCCTGTAATAATTTTAAAAATATTTACATAGTGAAATATATTAAATAAAAAAATTAAAAATGTATCCTATGATACTATAGATAATACTGTGAGATACAATAATCAGATAGTTTTCTGAGATATTTTCTAAAAATCCTCATGAAACCAATAATAATGCTCAAAAACTGCATAAATTTAAACATGCTACTAGGTCAATATCTCGGCCCCACCCTTTCACTGTCAAAACGGTTAAATGTAGCAATCTCTTCTACTGCAACAGCTTCTTTTCTCACACTTTCTGCCAGTGGAACTCCCTTCCTCCTACTTACTTCCCTAATAGCTATAATCTTCAAATATTTAAATGTAATGTCAATCAACATCTTCTGATACTTTGATCCTGATGCCCATCCTTCTCTACAAACAACCTCTATACACTTGCTCTCAATTTCTGTAATCCCTTGCATGGTAGTGGTGCCAACGCCTTGCTTGGTGTGATATGCTTAAAAATATATATATATATATATATATATATATATATATATATATATATATAGTGAAATATGATTTAAAAAATGAATACCTTTATATTAAATAATCTAATAAATTAATTTACCTTTGTGGGTGCTGATTTTTCAAACTGTTTTTGTTGTCTCAGTTGGGTACTGTTGTTTTCTTGTGCTTTTGATTTAATGGAAACCGTGTTGCTAGTATTACTATTAGTATAATTATTATCATTATTAGGATCACTTTGTCCATTATATTTCGGCAATTCTTGAGCAGAATGACTATCTGCAGTAGATAAAAAAGAAAAGTTAATTGCAAATACACACAATAGAAAGACTTTGTTTGAACAAACTGAAAATAATGTGCTTAATAAATGCTAAATTATAAATTCTTAATACTAATCATTAAATAATTATTTATAATAAATTAATATATATGTATGTGTTTAGTAGATTCTTACTAGATTTACTGTATTTCATGGCATTTAAGACACCTCTGCCCACATTCCATTTCTCCTTCTTATTACAATATCAGAGATGAATTATATATAAATACTGATGGTCTATAAAATCTGGACAAACATTAACCTACCATATAACTCAACCTTTGACCTGAGGAATATTTTTGTGACATTTTATGGGGAAAAAAGGAAGAAACTTAAAATACAATCAAATACAAATGCAGGTTGGGTTTACACTAGACTCAAAAAGATAGACACAATTCTGGTTGATCAGTCAGTTATGTGCCACGCGTGATACATGCTCAGGTAATCATGTATCTTTTGATACATGACTGACGAGGCAGATTTTTTCCCACAGTAGGTTGCCATTTCTTTCTGCAGTAGACCAGTTGCTATCCAAGGCTACAGAACCTGGTCTGTCCTGCTATTTAACCATAGCTGGGGGGGAGAAGAAGAGGATTTATACCTTTCCCAAGGGTATTAGCTCATAAGTGAATGTAATGGATTCGACTGGAATTCGAACTCAGCTCTCCAATTTCTCAATCCGAGCTGCTATCCATTACTCCACCACGCCTCCTCTGGTTGATACTAGACTCAAAAAGATAGACATAGGTTTACATGAGGGTCAAAAACGGAGCAGGTCAGGTTTACTCTCATGTTCCAAATAAAAGAGCTGGTAAAACTAAATTAATTTTACCTCTGTCATCATGTTTATTTGTTACGGTATTAATTTTCAAATAATTTCCTCCGTGGCATTATTATTCTGTTTCATGTTGGTTAAACTTGTTTAAAAGATCCCGAGACAAACATGTAGCAATGGTAGGAACAAGCATCAACGGATATAAAAAAAAAACGATGATCATAATGAAAATAATCTGTATATGCCTATACAAATGGAAGCAGATGAAAATAAGGGACAACAATCTACATCTCCAAAACAGTCCTGATGAAGATCATTTGAAAGAAGATATCCATGAATATAAAAGAATGCCAGACAGATCAAGGTCTCCCAGAAATAGAAATATGATAAGATTGATGGAAGGAGAGTGAGAGGTAGAGCAAGGAAATCATGAAAATAGAACAGAGAAGCAAAAGAATGACTAAGTGCATAAAACCTGCTCTGTTTAAGGAAAGGTAAATGTAAAAGACTAATCATTCACATATGGATGAAAGACATTTTATATAAACTCAAGTAGTCATGAGGAGGACAGATTTTGAGAGTAGAGATTGTAAGTGACTTGTGAATACTACTACTATTACTCATACTACAACACATCTCTTATAGAATGCAAAGGCCAGGGTCAGGATGGTCAGAATACCTTGTAGGCATGGTATCATGACAGTAATGGATTGTATTTGCCTATGTTGTGGATACAAGTCCAAAATGATACAAAATCAACAGAAGGCTGCAGGAATTTCGAAATGCCGATACACTTCCCACACCCAGGTTCAGGAGACAACTGAGACCACACATGGATGAACATTAAGCCAATGGGCAGCATGCATTCCCTTGAAGTCCTTCCACCTGCTACCTCTTAGGATTCAAGGTGCCACTTCTGTCTCTGTTATATTAAGAGAGTCATAGAAAGAAACCGTCTTTTCATTACTATCATCTATGCAATAGCATTGCAGTCTGGGAAGTTAGGTGGACAGATGTAAGGGGTCCAGTGACAACATGAAACACAACACATAAATGTATATAAAAATTCCCAGTGGAATGCTTATTTCAATTGATACACTTATTTTATAAGTTAGAAAATTCCCACCAGCATGACAGCACTTATATTTGGTACAAAGGTGTATACTAGAGTCAAAATGGTAAACATAGATCTAGTTTATACTACAGAGTGCGATGGATAAATTGTCTAAATTACACAAAAATGAAAATAACATTAACATCTCATTTTAACAGATATATTTACCAAAATTACACAAAAATATCTTGAGATACAAAGAGTAAATTTATTCAATAAAATTCACCATTGGCTCAACTACAACCTTCAGACAACTTCAGAATCTCCTGCAACTCTTCTGGACATTTCCCCTTGTTTAAATTGGTGAATGCCTCCATAATCCTTGCCTTCAGTTCATCTTTGGTGTTACAAGGAGTTTTGTTGGTCTCTCACTCAACTGAACCCCACACATAATAATCAAAAGGGTTGCAGTCTGGGAAGTTAGGTGGACAGTTGTAAGGGGTCATGTGGTTGCAGAAATTGTCTGACAGCAATGACTGGGTTCTCTTGCTTGTGTGGAGAGTCATAGGGTCTTCCAGCAGCCACCCTCTTGACCCAGGCAGCACTACCTCCTCAAGGCACTTGATGTGGCCTCAGTGTTGAGTCTGAGGCCCTGTGAGAAGATGGAGGCATAACATTAGTGATCACTCCAAACACCATGATGCTGACTGGATATATCATCCAACTCTTGCACTGTTGACACCCACTCTGAAATGTTTGTATTGGAGCTTCTGGCATGAATGCCAAGCAGTACAGTATGTTGTTTCCAAATTTCTGGCAGAACGAATTACATCATGGTGGTCTTTTTCTCACAGATGGTGCCCAATTGACCCTACTCTACTGTGCAGTCAACAAAATCAAAAACGAACAACACACATGCACAAAATTAAAAATATAAAATGACAATTTAATCATCGCACTCTGTATAGTCAAAAAGGGTTGGGTTTACATCACCAAGTACCCAGCTGAAAATTGCCCCTTCTTTTTCGGAGGGGTATATCTTACCCCTCTGCAAAGGATGCAGTCAGTATAATCTATCTAGGGCAGACAAAATGTTATGGTAACAACAGAAGAATTGAGATCAATACCAAGTATGTGTACTAAGGATTTTGTAGTGATTGGGACGCCATATAATAATGGCTTCCAGGATGATTTACATGCAAACTGGAGATTTCATTTCTTCTTGGCTTACTTTGTACAACAGGCACTTAATAGCAATATTTTCAAAATAAACCTGTCACCAGCTTTTATATTTTCATACTTGGCAGCTTTAAAAGCATAAAATGCAGCAGTAGCATACTGTGGATAACAAGTCAATGGCACTAAGTAAGTGAACTGGTTCACTCATAAAAAAAAAATAAAAAATAGGAAAAATATTTTTTAGAAATAATACCAGCTAAGAACCATCATGGGAGATGCAATAATTTGCATAATGTGGTTAATAATTCAGGTTCAGCAAATGCTGAATAAATAATCCGGGTTGTGCTGTTTACCAGGGATTTCTTTTCTATAATCTGCAGAGCACACGCCATTACCATTTTCTTTTTTAATCGTTTCACTCCAAGCAAGGTTGTAATTCCACTAGTATGTAGGAGGTTACAGGAAATTAAAGCGAAAAAGAAGACTGAGAATAGGGAGGATTGAGGAAAGGACATAAGATGAATGGGGTTCAAGAAGATGGAAGATGGCGACTAACATTGTATTTAAATTTTTTTAAGATTGTAGTTATCAGGAAGCAAGGAAAGGAGTTCCACAGGTGGGGAGAGCAAGAAAAGAAACTGCTGGAACAGAAGTGATGGTTGCATTTAGCTATTCCAACAGTAAAATGCTGGGACCTAGATGCCAATCTAGTAACATGCTTAAATTCATGTAGTTGGGGCACCAGGTCAAAAAAGCTCATCAGAGCAGTTGCCATGAAAATATTTGTAGAAAAGACAGAGAGAAGTCATCTTATGTCATTGACTGAATGTCAAGATACTTAGTTAGGATGGATTACATTAGAGACCATTCTTTAGATTTTGTTAAGAATCTCTAGATGCACAGCAGGAGCATCAGACCAGATATGGCAACAGTATTCAATGCATGGATAAACAGTAGATTTGTAAATATGCAAGATAGATGAGAAAAATTTTCTGGCACTACATAGTGACCAGATTTTCCTTGCAGCAGATGAATTATTGATTTGATATAGTTGCTCCATTTTAAGTGGAAAATGTGAGGCCAAGAGAGACATTATACAATAAGTCTAGGCAACTTTTCTGTAAGCAGAGGGAATGACTGCTGGGCCTTTGCAATCATTGTTTGTGTGTGTGTATGTGCGTATATATATATATATATATATATATATATGTATATATCTTTTTCTCTGCAGATTACTGGGTGTTCTCAATTTATCTTTTTTTTTTTTTTAATCTGAACCCAATTTACACATTTCTCCTCAATTAGCTTCAAAGCACAAGGATCGAAAAATAGTTAGCCTCTCTTTTGTTATTCCTCTTTTTATTTTTGTTATTGTTTCGATTCACCTCTTTACGATGATTTATTTTATTATTATATTATCCTCCCTCTTCTCCCCACCTGTTTGTTATTTTCATTTATTTATTGCTGTATATAGTTATATACAACTTCAATATGTCCATTTTTGTGGCATCAATAAAGTTTTGCACTCACCCACCCCATAGACTGTTTTAAAAAAGTGAAATGAAAAACTTGGCAAGAACAAAATAAAAAAAACAATTGACAATTTTTTTTTCAAATATGGCATTCTTAAATGTCATATTTGAAAAAAAATTAAATGAAATTAAAAGGGTAATAAACAAGTAGATTGACCAATAAGCAATATTTGAAGAAACTGATCCAAACAGAATTAAACAAAGCGAAAAGATGAAGAATATTTGCAAAAGACATGAAAGCTGCCTATCACTTTAGTAAACATCACAAAAAAAAAAAAAAAATGTTTGAGTCATGCAAAGAAACACATTAGAACTGATTTGGTTGCATTGTGTTGTTTCTAGATTCTAATGTTCTTTCAGTAATTTCTTAATCCAAACCCCAACACTGCATCACAAACCAAATCAACATCAGACAATTTT